TCATGCATATTTGGGGTATTTTTAGTGGTAACCTTATATTTTGTGAGATAAAACATTTTACCAGTCTTGGCAGTTTATGCTTGCCTAAATGCCTTGAGTTCACTTAACATACATAAAATGAGCATAAAGTGTCTTGGAAACAATTACATTATTACAGTATATATTTTCATTCATAGGTAGGCTAGCGTTGTTCAAGAACTGACACACATTCATAGAAAATGTAAAACAATTTAAGAGTTGTGATATTACATGATTAGTCTGTACTCTTTGTAATCACTCACAATATCTCAACACTTTAACCATGTGAGTCAACATGGCCTTCCAGACATATGTTGATAAACTGCTATATTTATTCTTTGTACTACGCTCCTTCTTTCCTTTCAATACTTGCATTACCTACATGTATGTACTATCTTGTGGGTTTTTTTTCCCAATGTTGTTAGGAAAACATTCGTGTAAGATCAGAACTGCGGGATATAAGGCGACGTCTGCAGACTGCTGAAAAACAAGCTGCAAAGGCGACAGAAGTAAATGTTAGAACTGCAGAAAAGTTGGCAGCTTCTGAGAGACTTGTGAGTGACTACTTGTATGCATTAAAATACATGTACATAAAAATGTCTACTGTGAAATACCTCATCATCACAATTTTTTTTAATTTATTTTCGTTGTTTCACACGAACATCTAATTAAATATTCATGAATATTAATGAGCTTCACAGAAAATGTCATGTACATGTAGTCGCAAAACACTACAAAACACCCATACTAATGATTCTTTAGTGATGTTTAAAATCAACTTCTCGTTTGTGAATTTTCAGGATAATTTTTAGTCCCCGCATATTAAATATTAAGGTTTTTAGTCTCTTTATTTTTCTGGGTGACTTTGTAGGCTTTTGATGAGGATTTGACTTTATATACTATGCAGTTATTTTAATGTAATTTGAACAACGAATAGTGTTCTAAACGTATCGGCACATTAACTAAAATAAGGTGCAGGAAGGCCTTAATTTCTTTCATGTATGTTACTTTTGTATTGCGGATTTAATTTCATATTTAGCTTATGCTATTGTTAATAGATTTAATACGAATAAATCTCTGTGCGTGGCAACGTCACCACACAAGTAATACTCATGTTTTGTCATCTATGCCGTTTGTGGAGTCAGAACGTGTGAGTAAAGGTTCTGCCACCTTTCCAAAATAGAATGTGGATTTTTGATGATTTCATGTGTTTATTTTTGTTTTCACCATCACAGGCTGACACTTTGAAAATGACTTTAGAAAACCTGAATACAACCAAAACAGATGAATTATGGAATGTCACAAATAAAGCTCAACAAAGAGAAGAGGAGCTGATTAATCTTATTGAAGAAATGGAAAGTAAACACAGTGAGTAAAACATCAGTCAGTTTTATCATAATTTGATTTTTCTGAAGTGCTGCTCAGAATGATTTTGTTTTTCACTTTCCATCTTGAATGTTAACCGTAAACTATTTAATTTTCAGTTTTATCAATTTTCAGAATACAATAATTGACATTTGTAGAAATGAAATTTCATAGTAGTCACTGCTTTAAATATTCCAATGAAATATTCACCGCTACAAGTCACTGTGATTCTTGATCAAAATTTATAGTTTTCTCTGACTTTTGAAATTTGTCTCTTGTGAAAGTAAAGCAGTTTACAGTACCGGTATTTCTGAACTTGTATTTGTTTTGCAGCTTTTAGTGAGAGTGAATTGGAAAGAATGGTTGGTTCTCAGAACTCACTAATCAGTAAATTAAAAGCTGAATGTCAGGCACTCACAAACCAATTGCAGAATTCTTCTGAAAAATTCAGGTCAGTTTTACTATTCAAATATATTTTGCTTTTGTTTTAAAAACTTGTATGGGTTTCCTACTGTTGAATATAGTTACAGTGTTTGAATTCATACATTCATGTCATCAAACTGGTGGCAAGTGTGTATCAACACCAATCAGTGACTCATGTAACTTCTTGTATTTACAGTAATCAGAGTCAACCATGTTTATAATAATCATCAGCTATATTGACTTTCTTTGAGTTGGTGTGTGTTACAATGTATATCCAGACACTTTTTCATTTTGGCTCATTTAATTATAAATACATTCATTTGTGGAACTGCATTGGTTTTCACTGTATTGACTTGACTATTTTATAGCTGTTCATGAGTCATGGTGAAATTGGACAAACAGATACCAGTATACAAACATCTGATACATAATAACTAATATATTGAAAATTTATTTGCACTTTGAGAAAAAGTCATATTATTATTTACATTGTATATAGGTCGATAGAATCTATTTCATTCTCAGTTGGGCCAAAAGATTTTTCCTGAAAAATTAATGCCTATATTTATGTTGATGTACCAATGAATTAAAATTAGTGTTTTTTATACACATACCGGTGTCCAAATATGGACTACCGGTATGTGTTACATCATTGGCATATTATGCAAATCATTATTATGCGGGGTTTTAAAATTGATATTACTTTTATCACAGAAATGAAAAACATCAATTGAAAGAGCAGGTTAAATACCTGTCAGGTAAAGTAGATAGACTTGATAGACAACACAAAGAGATGGAAGCACAATGTGTTGACCATAGCAGAGTACATAATGTTATGACAAACAAGCTGAAAGATATGGATAAACACTCCCATTCAACGTCACAACAGGTGAGTACACAAATTGAGTTGATACCTGTATCTTTACACAAATAACTCTGTGTGGAGAATATGTACAGCATTACTTCAGATGTCATGGTGTGTATCAATTAATCTCTGTGATGATTAGCCAAGTAAATAATCGGTTCATTAATTGTATTGTAAATGTGAATGTCTTCTTTCTTGCCCAGCTGACATGTTTAGCTTAGTGATCTCACCAACTTGAATCGTTATCATACTTCAATGAGTTTCGTAGATGTGACATTTCCCCCCTCTTCTATGTCAAACTTTCAACCATTTCCCAGATTTTAAACAAGATCAAAATTATCTTATCTAATTCACAGGTATTTGAACTGTTGAACAAAGTGAACTCTGTTACAAGAGAAAAAGAAATGCTGAAGAAAGAAATAATGTTTCTTCAGCAACAGCTAGAGACACAATCTCGTCAAAAGTTAGATATGAACTATATGGTAGAGGTAATTGAAGGACAGAAGCGAGGCTAAACTGGTAATGATTTGTTAGTCGGGGACTATTAATTTGCGGTGCGTCCGTCCGGAGCCATTTCTCAGACCGAACTCGTTCAAATGTAACATAAAGATAATGTACGATGACTTACATGTGCACATCAATTTTTATGACAATTTGATAAAATATGGCCGACTGGTGGCTATTTTAGACCTTACATTTGCTAAATTCTGATATTTAAACCTTTCCAGAAATGTTTCTCGGAGATGGACATGTAGATTACATTCAAACTATGTATCATGATCATGCATATTGGGTTACAGGTGCACATCAATTTGTTTTTGAGATTCAAACAGAAATGGCCAACTGGCAGCCATTTTGTTTTTATTCTTGTCTGGGCTGATTCTTGATTAATACTAATGGGAGTTTCTAAAAATATAATTGACCTATTCACAGAAAGTTTGATGTTTAACTGCCTATAATACCCACAATTGTAAATCGCTACTAGTAATAGACTTTGTATGAAAAGAAAGTATCTGAAATTCCTTTGATGATTAAAAACTATATAACCTAATGCAAAAGTCACAATAAATTATTTTGCTGTCTTTGTGATTAGGCTCCAGTGACACATTGTATCTGATAAATGTGAGTTGTCAATGTGTTCCACCACAGTAGTACATATTTTGCTGCTTTTAGCTCAGTTATATGCAGCAACATGTAGATAAATCAAACAGAGTGGTATATTATATTGCTATGACATTTACTTGATTCATAGAACACTTTTTATTTAATACATGTCTTGTGTAAAATTAACTTAATTCTTTATTCAATGCTTCATTCATGTACATTCCATATTCAAAATTGATATGTAAATTTGTTGATTGTATATGTCATAAAATGCTTTATTCTTGTAGAAACATTTTTAATTACTAGAAAGGTCTTTGTTTATGGAAACTGGTACACACTAATACTGTAGATAATACTGTTTGCACAGTCACTCAACATTATAACAACTGTATTATTGAATCCCCATTCACAGAAGCAATAAAAATCTGACAAAATCTGTGAATATTCTGTTTTATAACTTGTTTCCTCTCTTTAATGACATCTGTATGCTGAAAATAATAATCTTTATAACTTTGTTGAACTCAATTATCTATATTATTTTTGAAACTTAATTAACTGATGCAATTATGTACATTTTTTTGACTAGGGAAAATAAATTTCTAATATATTTTTAAACTATTCCAGACAAACTGTTGTATTATTTGGTCATTATGCAAGAAATAAAGGGGATTAAAAGTTATTGACTTATCTAGCCCTGCGTACAGTGCTGTGTGTACGGGGACGCGTTCGGTTGATAGATGTCCCCACCACAGCCCTGCGTACCTCCATAGAAAAGTCCGGGAGCGCACCATAATTGGTGCGCAAGTTAAAAATAAGTAGTTTCCCAGCCGAAATCGGTTGAAATGACGATAGTTATCTGTAACAACCATTACAAAGTTATCTGAAACTGAAATGTCTTTAAATAACAACTAGTAAAGACTGACAAATTGTAAACGCGT